TATCTATCTATCTATCTATCTATCTATCTATCTATCTATCTATCTATCTATCTATCTATCTATCTATCTATCCATTCAATCCGTTTTTCCTGATAATGATTGCAAAGTAGAGATTCAAAACAGAATAAAGGCTCTGCAATCAGGGCAATGACAATAGCAGGAATGATGTGATTCAACAGCACAAATTCAATTGAAAGCTGTGGAAAACAAACATCTAAGTTTTCAGCCAGTACCAAAAGATTACAAGATTTGTCATCAGCCACCTTTTGCTTCCACCAATGTCCAGTCCACAAAGGTGATAAGTTTGAATCAAGCAGGCAAGAAAATACTACCTATTCATTTTATAAAATATAGCGCAACTAATATCTATTAAAATATAACAGTAATATGTGTATATTTTAATGGTGAGAAAGAGCATGCTTCAGGCCCATAATAACTTTGGGAAAATACCCTGCTTTAGTTGCCTTCTTAGAATCCCTTTTTAACCATGTTGAGTTAGTACTGTAGATTTATGGACTGATCTCGACAACTCTGGCCAGAGGCTCAGAGGCTGTGAGGGACCAAGTGCAAATGCAGCCTTGTTTGCCATGACCTTAATCCTGCGGGAATGTAAGCAGACACAAATATCCAGGACTGGGAGCGCCCACAGAGATTTCTTTTTGGATGCATGAGAAACAGCCTTGACATTTTATACCTTTTTGTAAAGCTGTCGTGCCAATGACTTTAAATCCAATGCCACTGATAATTCAGCAGGTTCATTCTTTTGAAACATACACACACACACACAACACTAGGTGTGGTAGATTTATAAAAAAAAGTGTCATACTAAGTCTACAACGTGTGTTCCCTTCAGACTTGTATATATAAATCCAGAGAGTGAAAATAGCCTCTGCTAGACTGCAGAAGATTCAGCTGGAGAGCAGAAGTGTTAGCATATCACCTTTCAGAATGAGGGAAGCTAAAACCTGAATGCAGAAAATGTTCAGGCATTAAAGTTCCTCCACTGAAAACCTAGGAAGGTTCTTGCAGAGTCATGAGCAGAACTAACACTGGAGGGCCTTTTGTGGGTGAAATGGTGTGGGGGTATAAGGGCCCAAATGCACCTGCTGCTGAAGGAGTGTGCAAGAAGTTCTGCATTACGGTCTGAGCAGGAACCACACACCGATTGAAGTTCAGGAGGATCACATGGACTTTACAACCTATAACATTTGGACTCCAGTGGCTGCCACTGTAGGGTTTTACATGTGTGCATTTCCTGATTAATGACAGGCACTCTTTTACTTCTGTGAAAGAACAGACTGCAAGAACTTTGCATCACTGTCAGCCAAAAAAAGAAATAAACCTTAGCAAAGTTTCCAGGGATGCCCACCATTGCAGCTTGCCATTTTTGACCATTCCCTGTGGACACCTCAAACTTTCTGTCCACAAATCGCTTTCCTTCCTGAGCACATTTTCCTATTCCCATCAGAGTCAGATTAAACCAAAGCAATTGGTTTCCTAGCAACTTTTGTTTTAAAAATTAATCTTTTGTTGGATCCTGGGACAGGGTTTTTTTGATTTTCCTTTTATTTCTTTCCCCACTCAGCAGCACCACACAGGCAGGATTGGTGTCTCTGCATATCTATCTAACCAGATTGTGAAGCTACTCCTACAGGGTTGAAATATATTTTATTTAATAGTGTCCAAAAGTTGCAATCCTCCCAAAGAAAGATGATAAAACAGCACCAGAGGGAAGAAAAACAGAATATTGAGGAGATATAGCCCCAGGAGAATGATGTGGAGAATAGGTTGCTGTTTGCATCTTAGCCCATCTTCCTCACTTGCAATGGACTCAAGTGTCAGTATATTATATATCCTAAATAAAAAAGTATTTTTAAAACATATCTGATTTTTCTGCTCCTTTTTGGGGTTTTCTCAAATACTGTCACTCCAAAGAGCTGAAATAAAGAAATATTTTTAAAAAATTCTTTGACATCCAGATTCATGAGATTAGAACTCAATAACTTTAAGTATAATAAATTATATGCAACTTTAGTTGATAAATTTAAATATGATATGTAATAGGGAAGCAAGAAGTAAGGTACCTTAGTCCGGCTCATATATTCAGAATTGCTCCCTAGGGCACAGCACAGATAGCAGAGACTACAGCTGCTCAGGCACAATCCTAGCTGAGTCTTGTGCAGAGTCTATGTCAAAGGATGTCCAAGTCCTGGCATGGGGGATGCAGTTGTCTTAAGAATCATTCAAGACATATCTTGATCCAAGGAATCTTTTGACCTATAGCCTCAACACACCACTTGGTATTAGAGCATTACAGTTCAAGGGTTTCCATTTTGACCTTGGACAACTCTGGTTTCATTAAATATATGAACTAAGGGTTTGATTGCAGATAGAGATAGATGATAGATAGGTGACTGATTGATAGATAGATATTTTACAGATAGATGATAGATAGATGATAGATGATAGATAGATATTATAGAGATAGATAGATATTATAGAGATAGATAAATGAGAGAGAGGGGGGGGGTATTTTCAAAATGCAGAACCAAACTTGGGAACTACTTCTAGGAAATTGCTCTGGCTGGCTTTGCATTCTTCAGCCTCATGTTATGCCCTTGATTTCTCTAATATAAACTTTTAAAGAGCCAGATTGTTTTACACTGTTGATAGACTATTAGCGTCCTCACCTGGAAGTTTTTAATTGTCAGGCCCAAGGCCATTTCTACAGTAAGTTCTCTGCGGAGGTTGTATTCTGATCCTTGAGATTCTTGCTCAAGCATTCATTCAAGCTGGGCTTGTAGGAGTTCTCAACATTAACCTTCATATAAAATATTTTCTATGTGACCACTATGTGACCTTCCCACTCAGCCTAGTTCTATGTATTTATGATTTTGAGTTTCTTTTTGATATATTTACTGCTTCTATTCCTTCTGTAGATTTTTTTCCCATCCCAATCTTTCCTTTTTTCAGTCTCCCGTCACTTCCTTTACATCAGATATCCTTTCTACATAGGCAGTTTATAAATGGCTTTTAAAAGTAAATAAAAATACTATTCTGACTGTCACAATTTTTGGGTTGGCAAGCCTGCACACTGGAAAGTAGTGTGTCTTCTTTCTGGTTCAAGACTAAGGAATAGAAAAAAAAAGCAGTTGCATATCCATCTCAGTGACATAATTCGCTCCAGATAGAGCCACCCAGATGGATCTGCCCATACCTCCCGACGTCCATTAACCTGCACAGTGTGAAGCTTTGGAGCACTGCATGCCCTGCCACCATTGATATATTTATGTGATTCACAGTAACCATATAGAGTACACATCATATTTGTACAACTCTAAATAATGTTGTCTGTGGGAGGAGAGGGATTTTCAGACCTGGTCCCAGTGTTGGTTACTGAGGGATGCTGAAGTGTCCTTTTCCCCCTTCCCAGCCTTGCCCCTGCTGGTGCTATCTGAGATCCTTGGACTCTGAGTTCCCATTAACTATTAATAACTCCAGGATGCCTATGTGAGCAGAGTCTCCAAGAGTCAAATGCAAAACACTCCCCATCAGCACTTTGTGCTGTGCAGACCAGGAGCAGGGTGTGCAGGTCCAGGAGGGTCACCAGCTACCAAACCTCCTGCAGAATCACCCAAACAAGGAACTCCAGAGACACCAATCCCTGCTCTTGCTACTGGAGGCTCCGTGGAGTGGCCTGTGGATGCGTGCCTAAGGTGAGTCCCTCTGAGTGGTTATGAGCCAGTAAAGATAACTAGAAAGGGAGAGAAAAGGACAAAATGTCTAAAGTCTGCATTATCTCATATTACCTTGCAACAAGTGGCCTGTTGGTGGGACTGAGGATTAACAAGAAAAGCAAGGGTCCCAACAGAAGCACTTGTATCTATTGACTTCTGCCGAAATCCTCTTTCCTCTCTCTGATCACTAAATGTTGGCTTACTTTGAAATGACCTCTGTCAACTAAATTCAGCAGGAGCCTTTTCTTCCATTAAAAAAAGGGGGGGGGGCACAGGAAAAACACTTGTTTGGAGTGCTGTAAGAATCCACTGAAATCCCTTTTTGGTTGAAGTGATCCATTCAACATTTTCACTGACTACTCTAAAAGCTTTAGCATTCTGAATAGCTGCCTAGAGCATTTTGGATGGCTGCCTCACTTTGCCTGTCACTTTCTTGGCCTTGGTGAATGTCAAAAGAGATTGGATCTTCTCCTTGGATATACTTCAATATTTTCTCCTCCCAGACTGTCCTGTTTACTAACTTATATCACCAGCAAAGCAGAAATTCCCTGCCATTCTCCATGTGATCAGGTAGAATGACTGCTGCCTTGTCAGACAGTTTTATACCCTTCTTAATGCAAAAATAACAGCTTTCCAGTTTTACTTTCTCTACTGCTGCCTCTGATTTTGTAACTGCATGAGACAGGTTGGCACTTGGCAAAAATATGACACAGATTCAACAGTTCTAATGGAAAACAAATCTAAATTGGTAATTAAACCCCACCCAGAATCATTTTGTTGAAGTATGGAGACCTCATTTGCATTGACTAAGGTGTTCACGGCAAAGGTTAGCCTTCACATCTCATTTTTAAAAAATAAAATTAAATACTATTAAAATAGTTTATCTTTGAGTGGAGCAGAATACCCTGACAAGAACTCATGAGCTTAAATCAGGAATTATTGTGTGAACTTGTCTGTCTGTCTGTCTGTCTGTCTGTCT